GTCCCGTTGTAAACATATCACGGCAGACCCGACGATGTTTGCATGAACACGCTTTTCACACACGGTTGCTGTACGCACACAGCCAGCTGTACCCATATGGAAAAGATATATATAAATCTTATAAAGTTTGTATCTGTCTTGTGTGAAACTTGTATGAAAAGCATATAAGAGTGAAAACAGATATAAGATCCCTTGAAAAATTACATAATGAAACTTGTATGTTTTGGATACTCTCTAAAACAATGTATGAAAGTAATGAGAAAGTGGCCACTTTCATGAGTAAATCATGTAAGGCTTATATGATTTACTCATGAAAGTGGCCACTTTCATGAGTAAATCACATATAAGTTTTTACTATTTCTTTTCCATATGGGTAGCTTTGCAGCTCACAGCCCGACACACACCAACACACCAGTAGAGAGAGCACAGACGTTAAGGCGGCGATGCGTGATTGCGGGTGCCGCTCAGATGAGTCCGCCCCCCCTGCAGAGGCGCTGCAGACCACACCCCGCCGCACACATTAACCAGGTTAAATACATATTTAGGCAGAATTTTGCAAATATCTACTTTTTTTTTTAGCAGCATCGAGCTTTTTTCCAATTATTTTTTTAAAAGTCAGGTCAAGGCTCCAAAAGCCCAAAGGAGATATAAGGGTGGCTCACAACAGTTTTTCTTTGCTGGATCATTTTAGTTCAGCGTCTTTCCTTTTGTTATATTTCTTTAAGAGTTCAAAATGTGTTAATTACATAAATAAAATGTAATTTTCTCTGTCATGGATTTCATAAGCAACACACCTTAGTTGTTCACACAAAGCATAAAGGTAAAAAACAATATGTACAGTGTTATCTTCATTTTAGATGTCAACAAGTATTTGTGGCTCCCAGAGTTTTCTTTTGTGTGGAAACTGTGTCCAAATGGCTCTTTGGGTCTTAAAGGTTGTGACCCCTGAACTAGACTGTATCACGTCATCTCAACAAAAACGAATTAAGTTGCTGAATTTCATGCAGAGCCTACGTGATTTAATTATGTTCACCATAGAAACATGAAATTATTTTGTTCAAATTACAAGTTAGACTTTTGTAAATGTAACAACCACCCAATTTCCTTTTTTGAGTGTAGAAAAAGATGTCTTTGATTTAATTGGAGATGTGTCAAACTGGGGCCTATTGAGCAAACACAACAATGCAAAGTGAACATTTTTTGTACTACATCTCTTCATCCAGAGGAGGGCAGCATGACTCTGTGTAACGAAGCAGTCCAGAGACTGTTTTCATTTACAAGCAGAAAGCCAGCTGACAGCTGTGGATCAGGCTCACAGACTCAGTCCAGGGGTCCATTCTTCGTACTTTTTTTCGGCAGCAGAGCAAGAACTCTTGAGTGAGGGATTTCAGGAGTTTCAGAGTTTAATTAAAACGCAAGGGAACACTGCAAAGGCTGCAAAAGCAAGGAGAGAGGGCTGGCAGAAAGTTGCTGACAAATTAAACTCGTAAGTAATTTAATAATAATAATAATAATGGATTGGGTTTATATAGCGCTTTTCAAGGCACCCAAAGCGCTTTACAATGCCACTATTCATTCACTCTCACATTCACACACTGGTGGAAGCAGCTACAGTTGTAGCCACAGCTGCCCTGGGGCAGACTGACAGAAGCGAGGCTGCCATATCGCACCATCGGCCCCTCTGGCCAACACCAGTAGGCGGTAGGGTAAATTTATTATATTACACTATATTATATTGTATTATATTATATTATATTATATTATATTATATTATATCATATTATATTATATTACATTATATCCTCTTTCACATTAGAGCCACAACAGGACCCACTAGAACATGGGAACAAGTAAAAGTGAAATATAAGAATATTCTACAGAATGGTAATATTTATCACTTATATTGCTTTTCGTCTCTTGAAAAGAGACCCTGAAATACTCTGTTTGTTTGTTCATAACAGCAACCAAGAAAAGGGCAGAGCAAAAAAAGACAGGTGGTGGTCCTGCACCCCCTCGTCAACAAGTTGGTTAAGTAAATAATAGCCTCACGGGAAAATCGATATCTCTCTATGAGCACACTGTCGCGCTGAGCTAAAGGATCCTGTCTGTCCCGCAATATACGCTGAATTCTGAGGACTCTCCTTATCAATCTTGCACCTTCCGCAATGGGCTGCTCGCGTATACGGACAGGACATGGCTGCGACAGACTTCCCAAATCCACCTTCGCTTTTATAGCCGTGGTCTCTCATCTTGATTACACGAAGTAATTTACAATTACTACTCTGAAATATGAATTACATCTGTAATAATCACATACATGTAATAGAATGATTAATAGTGCATTTCCCTTTTTTAGGAAATGACCTGTATGTATCTGTATGGAATCAATAAAAGGATCAAGTGCTGCATTGTCTTTAGTTACACTGATAATATTTATTTATGGAAAAACAGTGGTAAAATATCGCTGTTGCTTTCGTATGAATGACGCGGACATACCTGCGTGGCCGCGATCTAATCCTGTTTACATAAAGTAAACCTGCTCCCGAGCAGGTTTACGCTTACGGATCTGTTGCTATGACAGCAAGTCCCGGATGAGCTTCGGAGAACCGAACGATCCAAGATCACGCGAAATCGTCAACAATCAAATCCAGCTAACTTACTTAGCGAGGTACGAAGAACGGACCCCAGTACCTGTATTTCCAATGTCAACAGTGATAATCCCTCATTTGCCATTTAAAAACGATTTTGTTGGCCCAATAGGATTAAAAAGATTTCTTTTTTCTTAATCTTTTGTAACATTTGCTCTCAAGCACCAGAGTTTTGTTCGCAACACGGTTTATTGGGGAGGTACAGGAAAGAGGGCACAGGAAAATCCCGAGGAGAGTCAAATGGCCTGTATTTGTACAGCGCTTCACTAGTCCCTAAGGACCCCAAAGCGCTTTACACATTTAGTCATTCACCCATTCACACAAACATTCACACACTGGTGATGGCAGCTACATTGTAGCCACAGCCACCCTGGGGCGCACTTACAGAGGCGAGGCTGCCGGACACTGGCCCACCGGGCCCTCTGACCACCACCAATCAACTCACTCCCCCGCTACCCAACAACAACAAGAGCCCCCTCCCCTTCCCGCACACACTTTCCTGCAACCCAAACACTTCTCTTAAAGAAACAGTAACAGTGCACAGACAGTGAACCTGTCAAAGTAAAATAACCTCAACAATCGTTACAATACTTATAAAAATCATCATTATTATTATCATCAAGAAATACTTTAGGAGCAAAAGTCATCCATCCTGATTTTTTGTATGAAAACTTTAAAGAATATACACAACCGGTCAAAACTTTCAGAACTGCCCAATTCTCCAAGTTATATTTTCCAATGAATAGTTTGAAATGGCACAAATGTGGTGAACTAGGTTAAAAAAGGGTAAGGTTACCCAAAACTGTAAAATAATGTACATTTCAGAATTATACAAAAATGCCTTTTCAGGGAACACAATGTTGGTTAACAGTTTAAAGCTGTTCTGCAGTAATGGGGGCGGATGAGGCCTTGAAAGCTGCTGCTACTAACTCCTACAGCTGTTCCAACCCCCTCTGCAGTGATGGACACACTGTAGTTAGCAGCTTGCGTGATAAGTGGCTCACAGGACAACAGCTTCAAGCACAGATTAATGGTGGCCGTAGTAAGTGGAGGAGGGAGTGTGATGGTCTGGGGCTGTTTTCGGTGACTTGTACAGAGTGAGAGGCTCCCTGAGCCAAAATGGCCGCATTCTGCAGCGCCATGCAGCACCCTCTGGTATGCACCTAGTCTGTCAGGGCTTCATCCTACAGCAGGATAATGACACCAAAAAGAGGTCCAAGCTGTGCCACAACTACCTCAGGAAGAAGAACAAGATGGTGAGCTTGAAACACGGAGTGTCCAGTACAGCCTCCAGACTGAAACCCCATCGAGCTGGTTTGAACTGGACAGAAGAGGGAAAGCAAAGCAGCCTACGAGGTCCACATTCGTGGGAACTTCGGCTACAGATGTGGGAGAATATTTGATGTCTATTGTAGAAAGCCATCAAAAAGAGTTTTCATGTTTATATGGGGCCTTGCCTGTTCCTGTTAAAATTTACAAAAAACTGTTTACATTTTTTTAAACAGCAATATGAGAGGAAGCAAGCTCAGTATAAGCCAGTTCATTGTATAATAAAGCAACTGTAGACAACAGTCAGAAACTCTGTACATGCTTAAAACTGCAAGGACAGAGATGTGACATAGAAACAGGTTATCACAGTTCACAGTGCAACAGATTAGTGCAGAATACGGATATTTGACACATTCATTATTAGCACATGGATGGCTCCACATGATCAAGTTGAAAACAGGTTGTTTCTGTCATATCTGGTGACATGTGTTAATGCAGACCTTCCCAAAGTGTGGGGCCCGTGCCCTAGGGGGGGCGCGGTATGAAAAGGGGGGGGGGAAAACAAAATGCTTGGGCACTGCTAGCACTGGGCGCCTACAGAAAGGCAAAGCAGGAGATGAAGCATCGCTGAATATGTTTCCAAACCAACTTCATTTCAAGCCAAAGACTAGAAAAACAGCTGCGTTTTCAAAAATACCCGTGTAGGTGCGGACGCAGCGTAAAAGAGTTAGTAGTTTATTTCATTACTACCTGTAATTTATTGCAGATTACTGGTATTTGCTTAATTGTTTACTAAATGTTTGAGGTGTGAAATAAACCGCAGTGGAGCAAAATATGGGCGTGTGTGGTTGGAGGATGTGTTTGTGCGTGTGTGTGCGCGCGTGCACGCGGGGGGCGAACATTTTTCTTGTAAAACAAAGGGGGCCCAGCAAAAAACTTTGGGAACCACTGTGTTAAGGTCTGAATATGTGACATTTCAGTCTGATTCGACACTGATTTGTCGTGGAGGTGTTCGAGGACGGAAACGGAAACGACTCTGTTAACGTCACGACCTTTATTTTGAAAACCGAACCAGACAGGAAGTTAAATGTTGCTGCTCGCTTTAAGTTAGTCACTGGACGAGTGCGTGCTTCGGGTGTTTCGTCAGTACCTTTACTTTGCTGTTTCTGATCGTGTCGATGCTTTGTTGTATTCGTCGTTTACTAACGAGCACGAGTCCCGCGTGGCTGTTCTCTAACTGATCTGTTACGTTGGATACTTTTTGCTGAGAGTTACTTCCGCATTTTAACAGGAGTTGGTGGGAGCGCCAGCAGGGTTTTCTCAGCGCAGCTGTGCGAGACTCGTCTCCAGACATGGCGGTGTTCGACAACTGCTCGGTGCTGTTCGAGCTCAGAGGTTTGTCGTTCAAGGAGAAGAAGACGGTGAAATCAGCAGTCACAGGTCACGGAGGCAACCTTTCGTTTGTGGTCAACAAACAGGTCAGTGAGCTGTCAGCGCGGGGGGAGGGGGCACTCCTCACGGCTGAATGCTCAAATGAAACTTTACTAAACAACTTTACTTAAAAAGAGCTTTTTTCTTTGGTACCTGCTGCAGCACGTGACTATTTCAGTATAATGTTCACAACATGCCAGAGCTGCACCACGAATGAGCGAAGTCATTCTCCCACATCTATAGAAACATGTAGTTAATAGTTGGTTATGAATCGGCTGCACTTCCATGGAGCCTCACAGGACTGTCTGGTACCAACAGAAGCACACAAGTGAGCAAAAGTGCTCGTTCTGCAGAAGGACGTCCCTGTGTTAGTGACGATGGTGCAGATGCTGAAGTCTGACCTAATAGAACTAGGTTCTCTTCTGATGGGAAGCTTCAGCAATTCATTATTTTTGTAAAAGTATATATTTGCACACTGACTGACCAACACAGGCCAGCAGTGCAAAACGCCTTTTGGATTGTGTTGTGCTTTCAGCTACAAACCTGCAGTGTGTGCATTCTGCAGCTTTATGTTCAGAGACCAAAAACCAATAAATACATTTAAAAATCTTAGACTTCTCTCTCATTTCTTCCTACATTTCCCACAGTGCTCTTTGGTAGTGACAACCGATGTATCCAACCTAAGCTCCAACAGGCTGCGTAGCATTCAGAAACACCACACACCTGTGGTCGGGGTGGATTACGTGTACAGGTGTGTGGAGAGAGGAGTTCTCCTGCAGGTGGATGAATACAAGCTGGACACGTCCTCTGCCTTATCAGCTCCTCTTCATCGCTCCTCCTTCAAGGCGGCTCCACTGGCTTCGCTCGCACCTCAGCAGATAGGTCTGTATAGAAAGCACCACTAAGCAGATCTTTACAGTTTCATTTATTTCTGTATTTTTTTTCCATTAATTTGCGTTACAGACACAGACAAGCTGCTAATTCTACCCACATGCAGCACAATGACTGATATTTCCTTTACTGTTCAGTAACATCGTCCCCCCACGCTGATTGAAATACATTCACATTAAAAATGTTCAGCAGACTCAGCCAGCAGGTTGAACTAGTTTTATTAGGTCAGATGAACATGGGTGTGTGCAGCTGTGTGCAGCTGTGTGCAGTGTTACACATTCACATTGTGTTTAAAGCTGATGCAGCACTGTTGTGCAAAGATCTGTGCACAAGGTGATATGATATGGAGTTAATTATTAAACTGTGTGTGTGTCCATACTGCAGGGTCAAAAGGCCGGGCCCAACCTGTGGAGTGTGTCAGTGGGACTCAGAGGGCAGAGAGTCCTGAGAGGAGTGGGAATGTGCTGGACAGGTTCAGGTGAGAGACGCCATCTGTCTATTAGTGAGTTACATTAGGACCATCTGTCTGTTAATGTCGACGCCCTGAGTTATGAAGACACCTCTGACCTGTCACGGTACAGGACAAAGTACCAGGGATGCACTGATCTAATATTTTGGATCAGATGTGTCTGATTCTGGTTCAAGAACCTGGATGTGGTACATGGTTAACAGCCAAGTTCATTCTGCTCTGATTTACACACAAACTGGGTTCATGTGAGCGATTACGCGTGTAATAGGCATGTAATAGGCGTGTAATAGGTGCACCGTGTGCGTTTCACACTTTGCCTCTGCCGAGTGTGAAGTGGACACACAAGCAGAAGTTGCTTTACCAGCAGGAGGAGACAATATATTTAAAGTCAAGAATCACTAGTAAAGGCACGAAGTACATCCCAGCGTCCTTCTGTGCCAGAAAGGATAAAGCTGGGCTGCTAATATGTAATTACATGTTTATACAGCACCACATGACAACAACAGTGGTGTCTTTATATTGTGAGGTAGAGCCTACAGTAATACAAAGATTGTGACTGTGATTATTGTCATGTTGGCTTGAAATCAGGTGTCTCCATCTGCTGGTACTGCATTGAACTGCAGCACAGACAGCTTTCTCTGTAAGCCCCGCCCACGTTGGCTTCAGATCTGGAAACATTGGCCTGGTTAAAAACCTGAACTGTTTGTTCTCTAAGCTGCTGTAGTTATTAGATTGGTTTAATAGTGCAGATAACTGCTCTGATAAGCTTCCTCCAGTCATGGCGCCTCAGAAGAAAGCTGATGTTTGAAATGTTCATCTTGACAGAATTTATAGAGACACTGATTCGGATCTTCCATCAGACCAAAGTGACTTTCAAGTGGCAAAGTATTCGATCTTTGAAAAGGTAAAAGAACATTTTTGTAGCTTACCACTAATGACATTCCCACAGCAATAATTACTGTAATGACTCTTACTGGTATGAAACATATGCACTGTAGGTAAACAGCAACAGTTGGTGTGTGCTGGAGCTGCAGAGCTTCAAAGGGGAGGAGGGGCGGCAGTACCGTGTGGTCAGATACTGGAAGGATGATATACTCTGTGGGGTAAGAAGTGTTTTTACATGTGTGTATACATGTGTGAGACTGACGCGACTCCACTCTGGTTCATGTTTTCTGTGTCCTGATGTGAAACTCTATAAATGTACATTTGTCTTTTGAAATGAGAGCTGAGCTGGATCCCTGCAGAGAGCGTAGTGTTGCTTCTTTAGCTGCTCGTCTTCAGGTCCAACAAATATTAGTGCGATGAAATCTCCTGACAGAAAAAACCAATCAGTCACAAATGTAGTGTCAGTGTCACGCAGTGCTGGTGAAATACTGTGTGTCATGTGCACACTCTGTCAGTGCGCCGCAGGTGAGCTCGGTGAGCTCGAAATCATCAGCAGTGCTTAAACGAGTCCTGTGCCAAACCTAGAAGGGTTACGACCAACTCCTGGTGACTTCCTGTTTCTCCGTACAACAGCAGCCCATCTGTCACTGCTCATACCTGAAGGATTGTGTGCATAGACAGTATAAAAGATGTTTCAAATATTTTCAAAATAGACTTTTTATTCAGTGTGACCTCAAACAGCTGACAGACTGATAAGATCAGCAGGAGGGTCAGGACGACTATCGTAGTCTGGGTCCTTCAGATGGAGAGCAGCTTTGAGACGTCCTCCGAGCTGCACTAACGGCAGTGTTGCTGTTCTCTGTGCAGCCGGGTCTGAGACAAGTAAGCAGGGACTGTCTGCAAAACAGGAAGACGTGTTCCACAGTGCACTGTCAGCACAATCACATGTCACTGCTTGCATAGACCTTTGATTTTTTTGGTCTTTTTTTGCACACATACTTGTGTTTCACAGAAGAAGGCCGTGAGGGACAAGCTGGTGTTTTTGTCCACCTCAGAGGAAGCTCTGGAGGTGTTCCAGGCCCTGAGAGACAGCCTGGAGGCTTCAGGTCTGCGGAGGCAGAGCAGGTTTCCTCCTTCTGCCTGTGAGATGGGCTCTGCGCCCCTGCAGCAGGTCTGACACACTCACTGATGAATATTGCATCACATCTTTGCTCTCAGCTTTTAGACTCACCTTTATTTACTTCACTCGTTTTTTATTTGAAGAATTAAAGTTTAAAGAAATTTTCTTCAATACAAAATGTTTTCCACTTTCTTTCTGAGGTTTAATGAATCTTCAGTTTTTCCAATGAGGAATATTGTTGAATATCAACACTGACCAAAACACTGGTTATAATATTTGACATATTAAGAGGACACAATATTACAAAGTACACTCCCACCAACCACTGTGGCCTGAAGCATCAACCTTTACTACAGCGATCTTTCTCTCTGTTAAACTGTACTGCAGCAGTTTACAGTACAAAGCTGTGGGTGGATCGGGTCTCACACCATGAATAATAACAGTTCAGTACAGATTAATTAAGAATGTCACCGTCACATCAGATGCTCTGCTTTATGTGTTCGTGTCACATTTTATATTTGTGCTCAGATTAAAGTTTCCTAAAAGTAACATAGAAGGAAAACACGAGCGTTTTGGATGTGTGTCCAAATCTGCTTTAAACTAAAAGGACTGAATTCATGTTTCTGGACGAGAGAACATGTGGGAAATCCTGTTTCTTAGTAGCACGTTTGACATCTGAGACCTCCATCTGTGCTGGATGATACATGCTCTGTTTGATTGACAGCTGCTCCTGGAAGAGAAGCTCAACACAGGAAGCTTATCACAGGAAGTGGGTGTGTTTGTGGAGCTGCTGTGGACCGAGGCGCTGGGCTGCCTCGACAACATCCTCAGAGTTTCAGTGGACAAGCTCAGCCTGAATGATGTAAGAGTTTCTCTGTTTGTAAAACGTGGAGCTGCTGACGGTGACCACTGAGAGAAACTGCAGCTTTCCCATCAGCCTGACCTGATAGGACCGTGTGTGTGTGTGTGTGTGTGTGTGTGTGTGTGTGTGTGTGTGTGTGCAGGTGAGCAGGGCAGAGGGCTTGTTGCTTCAGGCTCAGAAGAAGCTGACAGAGGGAAACCACACTGAGCTGATGAGTCTCCTGGAGGACGTCTACACTCTGCTGCCACACAGACAACTCTCCATATTTCCCAGCACCAAGCTCATCTCTCAGAAACTGGACCTCTGTCAGGTACCACGCACACGGCTCTGAGACACGCCCACTGACGTCACACGTACTGAGAAAAATATCCTGCAGAATGATTTCTGTCAGAGATGCAGTGTGACTGAGCCAGGACAGAAAAGCCAACAAAACTATCACAATACAACTTGCAAAAACACGAGAGCACCGACTGGTTCCACCGCTTTGACACATGTAAGAAACAGTTCCATAAAATCTTAAAGGTCAATGTGAGGCACGTGATGTAAAGTACACATAAGGCCTCTCCCAGCTGCTGGGAGTGTTTCTGAAGGAGGAACGTTGCACTATGAACTACGACCCTTTAACTCCACCAGGAGATGGAGCTTTTTCACAAAAACGTTTCACAATTTTTTGATCGCTTTTACGCTGAAATATAAAAAATTGGTTTAGAAAATGTCAAACAGGTGGATAAATGTTAGTCAACCTGACCGTCCTGTGCACTGCGACATACACTACAGACGACCAAAACAATCCCAGCATGCATTTCTTCATTTATCCAGAGATGTTTGGGCTTCAGCTATTCCGGTTCACTGTTCCTCTTAAGAACTTTTCAGCTTTTCAGGTTTTGCTACTAAAACATATTAACACAGTAAAATGCTAACCAAGCTAGCGCCGCAGCACTGGTGTAAGCTGAGTGCTTCCTGGCTCTGTCCTGTGTCTCAGATATCATCACACATTTGTAGAAAACATTAAAGAAAAAAAATACACGACGACTTCAAAGGTTAAGTGTGTTTGAAGGGCCAGAGGAGGATGATGATTGGACAACATCACAAATCCCCCCACTCCAGTGCACAAGTCCATGATATCGATCAGCTCAGCCTCTGTGTTCTCTTTGTATCTTTAGACTAACACAAAACAACGATTTGATTTCCTCCAGTTAATCCGAGATGTTCTGAATGCAAGTGAGATGACTCTGAGGAGCCCCGCCCCTTCCACTGTGGGGAAGTATCGAGCTCTGAGGTGCAGCGTTGAGACGGTTCCCCCCAGTAGCTCCGAGTTTCAGGCTGTGACCGATCTCCTGCAGGACAGGTAGTTTCACGTCTACTTTCCAAACGAGGATTAAGTAACAGCGACACATTCAAATTCATGGTGACATATTGTGATAAGGACCCAACACACAGGATTTCATGTTGTTTTGACGTTTCGTGGTCACTCAGGAATAGCTGCTGCATTCCACACACCCTCCTCCATCTCCGCTGTCACTATATATACACCAATCGATCAAAGCTTTATTCGCCACATGCAGGTTGCCCTGCAGTGAAATGGGACCGCCCCCCCGACCTTACACACACAACACAGACATCACATGGGGAGACAAGTCGGAGATCGGTAGCGTTACAGAAAAACACTGAAATGTACACTACAATGGGAAAGTACAAGAGGAAAAAAAGAGACCTCTGCTCATGCTGTGCTTCCATGGCAGGACAGCACGAGAACAGGAAACAAAGAAACTCCTCTGCACAGAGAGCACATAAATGTCCACAGCACAACTTTGTGAAAGACATGACAAGCCACAGGATTGGGTGGGGGGTGAGGAGTAATCCGAAGCGAACACAGCAGCCGCCCTGCACAGTGCTACCATTCCAGCGCGGGCTCAGACCCGCCGTGTTCCCCCGCAGGAAACAAGCATCCAAGGCGTTTGGAAAAGGAGGGGGATGAGTCTGTGCTTATCAGTGTAAGTGTGTGTGTGTGCGTGTCCAGAGTTCAGCGGAGACAGTGTCCTTCGCCCTGCCAGGCTAAGTAAACAGTCTTCCAGCCAACCCAGGTGGCCTTGTAGGGAATGGGAAGGAACAGACTCAACAGAGTCGTTATCAGGGTGTTGTTCGGCTCCGGCCTTGAGCCCACAGCTGGCGCTGAAGGGGTCTCCGCATTATAATGGTGGTTTTTCTTTTACAAACAACTCATGAGAATTTCAAGCCGTTTTTAACACTCCGACACCGACACTGGTCTCAATCTCCCGTTGGATAGCTGCGAGTTTCTCCATGATGTTATTTACCTTCAGTTCCGTGATCTTTTCAGTCTTTTGCTCACATAGCAGATTCTGAGACCTCACAACCGCAGCCAACTGATCTGCGATGTAATCCAGCTTCCACCCAGAGGTGTTGTTCCGAGTGGATTCTTCCCTGATGTACTCCAACATACGCTCAGAGGTGTTATTCTGAGCATTCACTGCAGCCGTAAGCGCCTCCAAGCTCCATGCTGCCTTCAATGAGCCCTTTCTGAGAAGTCGCACCTGTCGTTCCAATCCCAGCGGGCAGCCTTGTGGGGATTTGAACAGCCGGTTCCGCTCTCTTAATTCTCCGATAAGCCAGGGCCAAGCCAGCTCTGATCAGCAAGAACCCTGTTATCGTGGTTCCGAATAGGTAGATATCTTTAGCGTCCTCGATCGACAGTCCCGCCAAGCACACGATCCTCTGCCACCCGTCCATCGTGTATCCGGCAGGGAAAGTCCCTCCAGGGCACTCGGGCTCTCCCGAGCCCAGACTTCTCGTTAAAGGGTGTCAATAGCATCCAGAGACCAGTTGATCAAAGCCATAATTCTCTTTTAGGTTTTAGACACAGACTGTGAGAGAGTGTTCCAGGGAAGTGAAAAAAGCACGAGACAAGACAAGGACATAAGAAGCAAAGCAGGGAAGATAAGGGAGAGGAGTGCTTTCAGGTGCTCTGCCCCTTCACTTTGGAGTTCCCCTGACCTCACAAACATCACTTTATTCCATCTTTTTAAGTCCAACCTTAAAACCCACCTGTTGAAAATTGCCTACTCCATATAACTCATCCATGAACTTAAACTTTCTGTCTGCTGCTCTTATTATTGTGTATATTTCATGTTTTTATGCCTGTTTATTTGCTGTACAGCGTCCTTGGGTGTTTTGACAGGCGCTTTTAAATCAAATGTATTATTATCCCTGCTGTCAGAAGCCGGTCGTTGCAGAGGTAAACGAGCCAACGTGTTCACAATGATCTGTCTTCAGTTTTCTGGCGCATGTCTTCTGTATGCAACGACACAAAGATCTCTTTCACAGATGTTCCCTCGCTTTAATCTGTGTTTCGCAGCAGGGTGCAGATCCAGCAGATTGTGCGTGTCGGCCGAGGGGTGGAGCTTCAGACCTTTAAGAGCGAGCTGGGGAATGTTAAGCCACTCCTCCATTCCTCCAGTCCCAACAACTTTGTGGGAATCCTGTCTCGGTGAGAACAACTGATCCTGTCGTTTGTCTCATACCTGATTTACTGTAAGAAAACCGATTTCAAGCTGAACCCACATCGACAAAACTCTTCTGTAAAGCCGTCCATTCAGAGACTTAGCTCGTCGCATCGAGCTGTGGTTGACACTCTCATATACACTGAAACAAAGTCTGAATGTCGTCAGGGTGTTGTAGTCACCCGCCGTGGGCAGGCAGGCGGGTGGCGTGAACAACAAGTCAAGAACGTGGCGCTGTGGGGAATTTAAACACTTTAGCTGCAGCTACCAAATATCTCGATGAGTCTGGATCTCAGTGACGTTGACCTCGAGGTCAAAGTTGTCTGGAAACTTCATGATAACTTTAATTGATACCATAGCTGCATGTAGTAGTGACCTTGACCTGAAGGTCAGAGGTCAACTGAGAGTTAATGAGGAACATTTATGCCATAGATGCGTCTTTGGGGAGGGGGCGACTTGTGGCCGTCAGTATTTAATTTTATTCAACTTTTGGGGATAAAACACAACCGTGTGGACGTCTTAGTCCGTTTGCATGAACACGTTTGATTTAATATGTCGACCAATCAGATCAAAGACTGAAGGAAAAAACAAAGGTTTTCTGTATTTATTGTGTTTATTGTATTTACATGTAATCTAACTGATAAGCTACCAGGACATCTCTGCCTGTGTTCTGCTGCGAGTTCAGATCTGTGATGCTGTGTGGGAATAATGAATGGAAACTCAATGGGACAGAATCCCGTGTGCTTGGATTCTAAGAAGAGCAACAACAGCTTGCTGTCATGGTGTGCGTGCAGCAGGACTCAAGGTGCCAAAACTCAACTTTATTTGCTGGACAGGAAACGAAGAGAAAACTAACTAGACTGGGGAAGATAAACAGGCAGACAGAACTCGCATGAGGATACAACACGACACAGAGCAACAAAAACACAGGGCTCGAATAAACACCGGAGCAATCGGGGAATGGGAGAGGGAAACACAGCTGGGACAAATCAGACCTAACTAGACAACAGAAGCAAAACCAACACGCTGCACACAGGACAGGGACTATCAAAATAAAACAGGAAACACAGAAACAAAACTTAAGGACTAGAAATTACAGAACAAAGAACTACTAGAGCTCGAAATACAGAACCTTAAACCAAAAGACTGGTAATGATAAACCACGATGAAAGCTCAATAATTATACCAAAATCAAAACACACGACCCAGGACTGTGACACTTTGGGTCACACCAAAGGTTTGTTGTCTGTTGTGAGACATGTCTCGCTTTTTAACCAGTTAGAGGAAACTGTGATTCGTCTTTAACCCTTTAAAGCCGGTCGGAGCGGGCACGCTCTGTTTTGCGTAACTATTTTTAAATCCCGGTAGCTCTGCAACCACGTAAGCTAGCGCAATAATTTTTTTTGCATATGAAACCGGAGGAGTTGTACTTACATCTGATGCCATCAGCTTGTCCTCGGTCACAGTTTCCTTCCACATATAGCTTTGCAAAAACTGCATAAAAAGCGCTTGCAGCAACAAAAACATAATATTCCAGAAACTCGCTTTGCCGATCCGATCAGCTGTTTGTAACACTTCCTACGTCCATCAGCGTGAACTATCACATGGCCGCCATGTCCTGCCCGAAACCGGAAGTGACGTCATCTTTCGCGGAAATGTAGTTTTTACCATCAGGGCCTCATGAGCCTATACTGGTGTTTTTAAAAGTTATGTTTGACTTTATGACTTTCTGTGTCGTTTCTGGGATGCTGAGGACTCATATTGCACTGCTGGAAATAGTTTATTTTGATGCATATGCTGCTTTTTGCAAATTTGCAGTATAATATTTATTTTCGTTTTTCCTGCAGTATATGAAAATTGGTGTATTTCAAAAACAAAACTATGAAGACACTCAAAATAAATTTCCTGTGGTGGGAAACTATTTTGTGCAACTTTTTTGTATTTACAGTTTTGAGGGATAAGCCTCTTAAATTTCTCTAACTAGAAATATATGTTAAAAAAACAAAAGCGATTTTCAGTTTTTTTGTAGTTTATTGCACTTTTTTGCAATTTATGTAATTACTGTGCACTTAATGCAGACATATTATTAAAATCTGGGCTATAATGGTTGTATTGATGTATATCAACTTGAAATGCTCCCAAAAATGGCTCCACAGCATGTAAAAATATACTATAAGCTCTGGTGGACTTGGTGCTATGGTAGGTCCTAAAGGGTTAAGGACACTGACTGGCCAGGTGGATTTCAGCCGGACACCGTGTCTCTGGATGTTTAGTGCTTTATTTCTACAGCCCCAAATCACAACAACAGTCACCTGAAAATGTTGTTAGTGGTTTCACATTTATCGTGTATACAGACACGCACGATGTGTTTATCACATCACTTTGAAACATGTCGTTTTTTCACCTGTCCTCTCTCTTATTCTTTCACTTTAGATAAACATTATGTCCATAAATATTTGGACAGAGACAGGTTTGGTTTTTTATCACAATGAATTTGTAATGAAGTTCAGACTTTCAGCTTTCATTCAGAGGGTGGAACAAAAAGATGTGAGGAACACAATCTCATCATTTCAGGGGCTCAGACGTCATTGGACAAACGAAACAAGTGAAAGTAATTGTTGAAACGCCTTTTCTGGCACTGACAGCCTGAAGTGTTGAATTCATGGACATCACCAGACGCGAGCCTCCTCCTTTGTCATGCTGTGCCTTCACTGCAGCAGCTTTCAATCGCTGTTTGTTTGTGAGCCAAAGTCTTCAGCCAATGAAACGCTCAGCTGGGTTAAGATCAGCTGACTTGGCTCCGGCTGTACGTCTTGTGTCCATCTGTATTAGGAAACGCCGTCCAATCATTTAGCTCGATTTGAGCAGACCTCCTTTACATAACGATATCTTTACTTTCATATGAATTGTGTGTCTTTAATGTGTGTAGTGAAACAGCAGCTGTGTTTGTGTCCTCCTCTTCAGTGGCCTGCTGCTGCCCCGCGTGGGAGTCGAGCACCACGGCATAGAAAGAACCGACGTCGGCAAACTGGGCGGTGGGATCTACTTTAGTGATTCCCTGAGGTTAGTCGAAAATCCCAATTTGACCAGTTTCTTTGTGTGTCTGACACATACGCTGCTGTGCAAAAGTCTTGAGCCGCCCCTCATTCATTGACAGTTTGCCATTGAGTGAAAAGTGTAATACGACACATAAGGCAAGTATGAAGAACTAGTTCAAGGACGAGAGACGTGTTACAATCTGGACACAAATCTGATGATTCCATTGATTTTGATTCCCAACACCACTGGCTGAACTCAGTCTTGCACCTCTCCCCCGACTACGTGCACATCGGCAACGCTTTGAACCAATAACGCTTTGAATAAGATCATGAGACTTGTTGCCACTTGTTTTAACGTGATCTTGTGTAATCTGCACGCCTCAGCATCTTCTCCTTGGTTCCCTAAGAAGGGCTGTGAGGTTCATACGCTGTGGAGTGTTTTCAGTCCTCTGGTTGTAGAGTTTCCTCTGAATGTAAAGCAAACACTGACCTGCAGTAATACAAGCTTTCACTTGTTATTATTGGAGTTTTGATATCTCTGAACCAAGATGGCAGCAACACAGTCACGTTTTCCATCCACAGCACCAGTCTGAAATACTCCAAGCCCGGCGTGACGGATGGCTCCCGGTTGTTGTTGGTGTGTGACGTTGCGTTGGGACGTTGCAGGCAGGTCTACAGGACGGACGTCCTGCTGAAGCAGGCTCCCGACGGATACGACAGCGTGCGCGGAGTCCGCCGCGCTCCAAACACTCCCTCTGAGTTTGAGGTACAGTAGGACTGTGTGAGCGTTTACATGCACATGGATAAACAGACAGAAGAAAACACTTACTGCCCATAAGCTGAATTATTGTTCTTTGCTGAATATTTAACTGTTGTCACACTAGGTTCACTTCACTAACGCACACAAACATGCATCCACTCTTGTGTCCTCCAGGATGATGAGTATGTGGTATACAGTCCTGATCAGGTGAAACTCAAGTATGTGGTTCAGTTCAGCATCCAAGGAGACCAGCTAAAGGCCTTCACTCCTGCCGTGGACATGTCACCTGAGCTCTGTCTTCCTTGTTCTGCTGAAGGTGAGCACTGGACAGCTGCGCCTTTGATCGGCTCTTATTTATGGCGATGAACGTGAGAGTACAGTGCGCTCAGCTTAGTGGTTGAACTTGAGCTTTCATACGTTTTTACCCCTCAGCTGTAAAAGGCTCATGTGGTAGCATCGTCACCACGTTTATAATTCCAGTAAGCTGAGAATTAAATTTGAACCTCAAGTGCTAAAAATCATCAGTGACCCTTGACCTCAAGATAAAATTCATAGGTCTGAAAACTCCAAAAGGAAGCCACCCAGGATTATGACACTTACTCACATTAA